TTTTCCTCGTTTGTACTCACTATGCCATGAAACTGCTGAGATATTTTGTCAGACCATAATTACTGTTCTCAAAGTTATCCCAGCTATAAAAATGACTTTAGCAGGCAGAACAGGTGACACTGATGCAAGAACGAAAAATATTGGAAGAATAGTTGAACGTATTTGAAATGGCTGAATATGCTGGACACAAAAGATCCGGCTTAACTACAAAAGAGCTTCTGTTGCAGACTCTAAGACCCTGATGTTGTCACTGGGAGTGTGCAGTCAGGCTGCTGTACTGGTGCCCTTGAGGAGAAGGTTCCTCAGGAAGCCGCTTCCACTATCCTGAGTTAAATCAGAGCTAAATTTCTGCTCTGATTCTGCTTCAGAAGTGTCGTAGTCCAGCTGACTCTTTCAAGGTTCTCTCCTCTGTGGCACTGCTGACAAGAAAAGGAATAACCCTAGGCCACTGTGCTTAAAAACACCCATTCCTGAGCAAATGGAGAATGTTGGAAACAGGGATCGCACCTCTCGGGCAGGTTACAGTAATTAGAAGCTTAGAATTAACTGCAGCGATTATCGTGAGAGATTAGACTCTTCTTTCAGCACCACAAATTATTCGGTTTTTTTGTAAACCTGCGTTTCAGAAAGCGAGTTTTTACCATTTCGCTGTGCTAAGAGTGTCTGCTCATGTCATAATCTCTGTCGTTTTGAGGACGTTGCAGCCAACACACAAAATGGGGATGGGAGAGAAGGGGAGAACGCGGAGGCAGGGAAGAGATTATAAAAGTCTGAACTTGCCCTCTCTCCGTTTCCTTCATTCCCTTCATGGTGTCAGCTGCATCCAGCTCCAGACCTGCCTGATGGTAAAGCCTCAGGAGGGGATTTCAGAAAAACAGAGCAAGTGACTAACCCAGTTTGTCCTCTGACCTGCAGTGTGTAACTCCGTGCTGCATTCCCTTGCCCTGGGAACGAAACTTTTCTACCTCTGTGCTGTTGATGGCTTCCTGGAAGAAAGTATGATGAGAACACAAAGGCCCACGTTTAGATAAATAAAACACGCAGCTTTGCTTTGGGTTCTAATCTTCAAAATCATGCAAACAGCCAGAATTCTCCTCCTGTTTATCTGAAGAGTGTTGTGTCTAAAAACCAAACTCAACTAACAAATCCCTGCTGTTGCTGGAATACAGTAATTTGGCCGAAACGAAACAGCTAAATGACATAAAATGCCATTTTACAAGGAATTAGTTGAATAAATACAAAGTTTTCCACACTGTTTGTTACTCAGACTCCCCAGTCAAAAACAAATATAGAAATTTCAAAAGTTGATATAAAAGTTGGTAGGAAAATAAGAGACTGACTAACAAAGTAAAGAGCAGATAATGCAAATACTTTTTATAAGGCTCTGCTCTTACACTATGAAATGAGACACTGATCTTGTTTCAGGGTAATTAGTATTTTTTATGGCCAACATGAAAAGCTGGTTTCTGTTTCAGCATGTGTGGGGCCAGGACACTGTCATATCCCACACCAAAAATACTATTTGTTAACTGAACTGCTTCTGTCAGCAACAGAAAAGAGAACCCAAAACAAACTGGGAAAAAAAACAAATCCAAGAAAATTACCTATTTCACAGGCGTACATTTCTAAGGGTTTTCTGAAGTTCTGTGCTCCAAGAGGTGCTGCTCACTGCTTCCCATCCGCAAGGACTGTCCTTTTATTTTTCCCTGTAAGCAGAGTCTCGGATAGTTGGTCGGGCAACTGAATAACTGGTATTTTCAGGGCAAAAGGGAGCAGACAGATCAGAATCCTGCTCTGACACGCCATGTAGTGAAATTAATCTCTTTCCAGTCACAACAGAAAAAAAACATCCCCGAGATTAAATTAGCCTGTGTAATTCCTGCTTGGCTGTGAATCGCTCGGCAAGATGTGATCCATTTCTGTATTCAAGGGCACTCCGACAGCCTGTGCAAAAAACACCTCCTCAGAAGCTGAACGCTCACTTGTGATGTTTTTAAAGTTACTCAGTACCAACCTGTCTGAGCTGCGTTTTCCTTCTTGCACAGCTCTGGGAGGAAAGGCTTTGACATGTCCCTTAATAGAAAGGTTCTTTCCCGTTGGCTGTAAGACCTTTTGTTTGCTGCTAGGCTCATCTCAGCGTGTCTCATCTGAGCCACGGCGCCCTCGCTTCCCCCCTCAGCTGCCGTGACACTCATGGCTGAATCTTCTCTCTTCCAGAGCATCCCGGACTCCGGTCACAAGTACTACCTGCAGTTCACTACTGAAGACTACAGAAGCAGGGTGAGTTTATGGTCCTCCATCTTCTCATCGTGAGTGCTAAATGAACTCCAACATCTCCAAAGCAGGGTACGTTTGTGCTGTCGTGAATGGATCTTTCACAAGGGAAGGACTCACCAGTAAGCTTCTACCTGCCTGTCCAGCATGGGGCATGGTTTGCTCTTAGCATCACCCGAGCAGCTCGTCTCATAAGCCCTCTGCCTCCGTCGGGGTCCAGATGGTCAGAGCACCATCGTACCTCCCTGCTTTGCTCAGTGCCTGAAGGGACTGGCTTGTTAAAGTCACATCGGGCAACCAAGTGCCTGAGTGAAACTTTGCCATGGTCCAAACTCCACGGTCCTCGTTATCCAGCTGCGGCTCCTGCTGTGTTCACACACCACACTGAGAATAAAGAGTTGGGGATTGTCTCTTCTAATTACACCCCCCGTTCATTCTCTCAGAGTTGTCACTAGCAATTCTACTGTGAGCATCTGCTTTTCCATTACGCACACATTTTACGGAATTCGGGTTATTTTCAGAATTTAATATGAAGCATTATTGTTGTTTCAAGGCTGAAGTATCATACAATGAAATGCTCTGTTATCAATTAATTTCATTGCTTAAGAACTCTCAAACATATTTCCAAGATGACTTAGTGCATTTCTGCTACACTTTAATTAAAAACTTCTGCTAAAGCACTATAGCCTTGTGGATTTAACCTTTGCACTTTTCTGGGACAAAAAAAAAATCATATCCTTCCAAAGAGTTTCTTCACTTCTTTACAGCTTCATACAAAGCGTCTCATGAAGACATACACGTACTCCAGATGTACACCTCACATGTAAATACTGAGAGCTTTTTTAAGGATGTGTTGCTGGTAAATAAAGGCTTGATTAAAAAGAACAGTTTTAAATTGTATCTTTACAGGAAAATGCCGGGAGCTGCCTGGCTACAGTGTTGTACCCGAAGAAGTCCTCTCCGCCTGTTGTCAATATCAAGTGCACGCATACCAAAGACCAGAAGAAAATCCAAGAAGAAGACAACAGACTTTACCAGAAAATTAGGCACCAAACCAAACCAATAACTGGAAACAATATTCCAGGTATATTCCTCCAAATAATCAATTGTGTTTCATTTTACCTTAAAGAGTCTGGGTACTTTTAATAACACAAGTGAACGTACATGCATTTTAAAAAGCAGACACGAACATTTCCTGTAGCACCCTAAAACCGTAGAGCTAACTATCAAAACAGTTCCACCTTGCCAGCAATTCCTGGGGAGAAAGAAAAACCTGGCTGTGTTTTAGCACCATTGTAGTCGACAGGATGTTGTGAAGGTGTTTGGGATTTAGAAACACGCCTGTGCAATTCTGTATTTGAGTAAACACAAAATGTCCTCCAGTGGTAACGACTGCCTTAGCCCACACACCGCCCCCAGCACGGGTGGAAACTCACCAGGGATGACTAATGGAATTTTTCCATCCTGGGGACAGAGCACCCTGCTCCCTCCCTTCCTCCCGGCTAGGTGAGGCCCTCCATTCCAAGGGATACTGGGTTCTCACCTCCTGTGGGGACCCTGTGCATAGTGCCTCTTGGCAATTTCAGCTCCGTCACACCTCCATACTCCTGCTGTGACCGCAGGTTTAGCATCGTTCTCCTCCCTGTTCAAGATGGTTAACAGGTCTGAGGAAGAGCCGCTTCCCAGGAGAGCGCTAAGCA